GGATAGAGAACCCAGGAAACGAAAGAGTAAGACAAAGAATAACAGGGCCGCTGCGCTGCTGCCTAGCTTAGCAATCGCCCCAGCCAGCCCATCCAGCTTCTTCTGGAGGGGGGTTGCCTCCATATCTTGACGCATAGCCACCAGGATCTTGCCATAGCTAGAGTTAACGCCAACTGAGGTTACTAGATAGGTACCAACACCTTCTAGGACTTTACTGCCAGAGATAATGAAGGGATCTAAGTCTTGTTGCCGGGTGTGACCTTGGTCTAGCAGCCGCAAGATCTGATCTGCGCCAGTCTTCTTGAGCTGATCGGACTCTCCTGTGGCAGAAGATTCATCACACTTCACATTATGACCATCAATAAAGATGCCATCAGCCGGTACTAGATCTCCGGGCTCCAAGTTCAGCACATCGCCCACTAGGACGTCGTGGACAGAGATCTTGACCAGTTTCCCAGAGCGGATAGCAGTCACCTCGCGGTCCTCTTTCTTAGCATTCAGCCGGACGAAGGCTCGTTCCTTCTGGTAGTCATTCAATGAGCCCACCATAACTACAATGATAATGGCAATGCAGATCGCACAGCCTTCTACCCAGTCGACCGGCATGGGGGATCCAGGCGGGTGGTCAGCACCGAAAGTCTCATAGAGACCGAGTGCCAGGGAGATAGCGGCAGCCGCAGTCAGGAGCAGCAGCACCTTGTCACAGTACGCCATCCACATGAGTCTCCAGAGCGGCGTTGGCTTCTTCTCAGGCAGCATATTGCGTTTGTAAATGCGAATGCGATCGCTGAAGGCTTGGGAGGACCCGGCCGGGTGTGTTGCTCCTCCAGATGCCGCCTGGGGCGTAGCTGGGTTTGGGATCGACGTCCTGATGTCTGTGGACTCCTTGTGAGATGCAATTGCCTCCTCAAAGCTGACTCTGCCTGGCAGAGTCGTCTCATCGAAGCTGAGACCGGCCTTGAGGTCAGTGCGAAGGCCCTTAGCTAGACCCCGGATTCCCCCAAGGGCCACAAAGGCCGAGATGGACTTGGGGTTCAGAAGCTTGTTGAGCTGACCCGGGGAATATGCAAACGGGCTATTCTCAACCACAAAGTCTTGCTCACAGCCCGGGTCGGGCCTCAGTGCGTCTTCCTGCTCGTTCATCGAGGACACGATGGAGGTGGCGCACGTCTCGATCTGGAGTTTAGAGTTGGGTAATTCTAGATGTGGGCTGATGGTCGAGCCGGTGCTGCCGCTCAGGGCTCGATCCCGGCTTCTTTCTGATTGCATGCCGGCCGCACGGAGGCTGCTGAGATTGCTGAATGATTGATCTCTCGTGAGACTCCCTCCTGCAGTACCAACCTCTGGCACATTCAAGGTATTGTTGTTGTCCTAGAGAAATAGGGGTCAGCATGCGAAGAGGGAAAAGGCAATGGTCTACTTACCGGTATCTGCACCATGATTGAAGGCACAGACGCTTGGTGAAGGCGAATCCCACGGTCTTCAGGCGATGGTGATCAGAGCCGGTCGCTTCTGTAGGTTACGGCGGATGTCACGTTGGACTGGAAGATGCAGGTAGGCTGCTGGTCTTCCGAAGGACATGGACGTGATCCAGGAGTCTTATTCATGTCGTAGAAGGCTGTGCAAAAGTAGTTGGGAAGAAACCTCCTCCTCGGTTAGTATCTACAGACGTCTTCCGCCAAGAGATACGGCGCCAAGAGCGGAGGCTAAGCCCGCCATCAAGGCGCTAAAACGCGGACGCCAAGCCCCCAAGCCCGCGGCTGCAGTCTCCAAAGTCAGTTTTGTGCGGGATTTCGTTTTGCGGGGGTTTCTTTGTCTAGGCTTTGTCTTTGCGGGGTACCATCCAATACCATTCACGGGGCTCCATACCCACTCTTTTCTTGTGGTTTGGCGCTTATGTTGCTAAGGCCGCTCTTGCACACCATGGGAGAGAACACTGGAAGATGCAGGACACACGGGACGCTTTTCTACGAACAGATGGTTACTGTTGGTCTCCACTTATAAGAAGACACAGCCTACCTGACAAGGCTGTCTACTCTCTCAAGCAAAAGTCAGCCCTGTGTTCAATTCACAAGGATCAACAGCGTCGATCTCACAGCCAACGATGGGTTTCAATTTGCATGCCGACAACAGCAATGACCCGCCAGAGGTGCGCAACTGGCGGGTGCATCTCATTGCCATCATCGTCAGTATGGGGGCCATTGCCAGTAAGTAATGGACTTTTCTTTAGGCCACAGAGAGCACTTGTTGACCAGCCGAAACCAAAACACGTAGTGGGCTATGACACCAGTGTTATCGGTGGCACCATGGCTTTGGACTCCTTTCGCAACGACTTTGGCATCTCGCGTGTCACTGTGACGGCCAGAGATACCCTGCAGGGCAACATTGTCTCTACCTTCCAGGCCGGCTGCTTCTTCGGGTCTCTCCTGACCTTCCCGCTGGCCGAACGTTTTGGCCGCAAGATAGCCATTACTATTGCGACCTCCATCTTCCTTGTAGGCGGCAGTCTGATGGTAAGCTGTTTGGGTAAACCACCAGCGAGGAAACCGACACTGACCATGTGTGTATCTAGACGGCCTCGTCAGGCCATGTGAGCTTGATCTATGCCGGGCGTGCCATTGCCGGCTTCGGCATCGGCTCTGTGTCCTTACTGGTGCCTGTGTACATCGCTGAGACAGTAAGTAACTCTTTCTAAACCTTGTGAAGCTTGGAACCGTTAGTAACCTCTACCGTCCGTTTGTAGTCGCCAGCGTCCATCCGCGGTCGTCTGGTGGGTATCTTCGAGATCGCCTCCCAAGGGGGAGGCATGTGCGGCTTTTGGGTCAACTATATCGTCAACCGCACCATCTCCTCAGGACGAATGGCGCAATGGCAGGTGCCGCTGGGTATCCAGCTGCTGCCCGGCTTTCTGCTGTTGGCGGGCATCTTCTGGTGCCCCGAGACACCGCGTTGGTATGCGAAACAGGATCGCTGGGAGGATGCTGAAAAGAGCTTGACCTGGATTCGCAAGCTCCCGGTGAATCACCCATTCATCCAGGACGAACTGCAGCAGATCCGCGAGCAGCTCCTGATCGGACTTCCGCTGCCCGGCACAAAGCATTCTGTGCACTACTATGTGCAGCGTCTGTGGCGGAAGGGCACCCGCAACCGCATTGGCATCGGTCTGCTGCTCATGGCCTTCCAGAATCTGACGGGGGTCAATATCATTACCTAGTAAGTGTTTCGGCCCATAGCCTTCTCCCCTATCCATATCTACTTACAAGGAAAGTTATTCTCCACGCATCTTTGAGACCCTGGGCATTACCGGCACTGACACCAAGCTCTTTGCGACTGGATTCTACGGGATCGCCAAGGCCTTGGGTATGGTGATATTCAGCATCTGGCTAGTGGAGAAGGTTGGTCGACGCAGCGGACTCATCTGGGGAGCCTTTATCGGCAGCCTGCCCATGTGGTATATCGGCGGCTACGTATTCAAGGCTGACCCAGAGGGTGCAGCGGCGAGAGGAGACACGTCCCGCAACGGCTGGAGCTATCTCGCCATGGTGTGTGTATATTTGTATGGACTGATCTACTGCGCCACATGGCAGGTGAGTCCAATATCTCGAGGTTCATCATTCAAGGGCACAAATGCTGATCATCCTGCTCCCAGGGCATCACTTGGGTCGTGTGCTCCGAGATATTCCCCATTGACATTCGCATGCTCTGTGTGGCCATCACTACGGCTGACCAATGGCTGTGGTCGTTCATCGTCAGCCGGACCACCCCCTACATGATCACCTCGCTTGGCTATGGCACCTACTTCTTTTTTGCGACTTTGATGATCTGTCTGGGCTTTTGGTCCTGGTTTTTTGTCCCTGAAACAAAGGGCAAGACGCTGGAAGAGATGGAAGCGCTGTTTGGGGCACCCACGCTGGTCGACCATGAGCTAGGCAGCGTGCCCAGTGATGAGAAGACCGAGGTCATTGTGACCGCGTCGCATGTGGAGAAGATCTGACCGGAGACGATGATGGAGGGACATCACTGATGTCGCTTCCAGTTGCAAGGGCAGCTCTGATGTTGGTCACTCTACCTCCGTGGAGGATACCTGGCGAGGACTCAAATATATGGTTCGGTCTTTCTTCTCACACTGATAGTGATATATACAACCCCTCTTTGCAGTGTCACACACTAGCCATGTGGGCCTGTCTATAACTTATATATTCGATGATACTTATTCTGTACAACTATTCTAAGACCATGATGTGAGACAGATAACCTCTTGTGACTATGCCTGCCTCGTAGATGATGCAGATAGTGGACTGCGGAGAAAGTATAATGCCTTCATCCTGAGTCCACACTCAGCACTAACTGTCCGAACAGAGACATGACCGTATAGACTGAAAATGTCGCCTATAGTGCATTTTTGGTCTAGCGGTATTATGCCCCATATTTGTGCGACATTATCTTACCTACATGCCACAGTTGGGCGGGGTATATCTCGGGAATCATGGTCAAAGGTCACAGGTTGGTATGTTCGGTATGATTCGGGGAAGTGAAGTTTACTTGATATCTGCCGGAGATTTGCCGTCCAAGCGACGCCTGGATCCCTTCAACGTTGTCAAGTTCATATTCATGTGGAGCGCACGGACGCTTGGCAACAGCGGGACGTGAAATACAATGGACAGGTAAAAACGCAAAATAAGAATCTGAGGCGGTGGCAGTGCACCTCAGACTGCTTCTGGTTATTGATTCTTTTCGATGGCTTTTTCTCGACGACTGCTAATACTCCAAATCCATTGTGAGAGTGCGGTTTGCGGGGAAGAAACCGCAGAAAGGATGAATCACGATCCACTTATATATACTTAGTTATAATACCGTCAAAATCGTGGGGTTTTGGCGTAGTGGTCAATATTGACTGGGACTGACTAACTTCCATCAGTAAATGAACTGATGGCACCCGCGCGGTGTCTGGGAAGAGACTGGGTTGCGACATCTATGCACGATTTCCACTACTCGCCGTCATGGATGCAGTCCCGCCGTCGCCGGTTCCTCAACGCATTGAACGGCGCAGAACCTTCGGCGAGACGCTGTCCCCATACCCAAGTCCCTGGACTCCCCGAGTGAAATCTGTGACCAGTGCGTGCGAGAGGTGTCGACGGCGAAAGATCCGTTGCGATGGAGAGACACCGTGTGCCACCTGCCATCGTTTCTCGGTCACCTGTGTGCGACCTCCCAATTCCAGGGACAGAACCAGCTCGTAAGTAGACCGCACTGATATCCAGCTGGCGTCCGCGGGTGCTCATGATTCATGGTTCGATGCGCAGGGAGACCCATGCCGCCTTAGAGAATCGTGTGCGCCAGTTAGAGGCGCGCATTTCGCAGATGCGCAGCGATCAGCCGGAGAGCACTATAATGCCTCCGTCCTTCCGGCTGGATACCAATTTCAAGCCGCACGGGCGATCCGCCTCGTTCGACAAGCAGGAGCAGGTCGAGAACATCTTTCCAAACGACAGCGCGTCGGCACTCGATATCCCACAGATAGAGATCGTCAGTTATAGCGGCGCTTCATCCCCAGCATTGCTGTGCCCAACACCGTCGATGCTGTCCGCAGTGTCGGGAGCATCCAGTCCCATGACGCCGGGCTGGGATGAATGGCTGATGCCCTCGAATATTCCCTTGACGCTGTCGCCTCCCATATCTGCATGCCCATCGCCGGCCTGTGATACCGTCTCGTACCTCACTCCAGCAGGCGTAGAGACATCGTCCATCTCCCGGCGCTCGTCCATCTCTTCGCTTGGTTTGGATCCAGATGCAAACTTCTCCAGTCTTCAGTTTGTGAGTTTAGCAGATGAAGATTTCCCCACCATGGTGTCAGAGTCATTCGGCTACGGCGCTGAAGCATCCCGATCGATCGACAGCGCCTTCAATCCGGCGAGATCTCTAATGCTGCCAACCAGGTTTGAGATGGATACGCTCTTGGACATCTTCTGCGAAAGAGCAGGGTCGTTCGGCTACCACGCCGACCACTCCCTGTTCCAGCATTTCCTGGATCTCATTGACACTCCCGAGCTCGAATTCTGCCCCGGCCAGGCCGGACTCTACTCGGTAGGCATGGCGAAGTTCCATGTCTATATGTCGATGGCGATTGCGATGCGCATTAAGACCGACGGTCGCCACACCGAAAGGGAACTGCTGGAAAATTGCTATCAGCTGGCTATGCAGGAAACGAGATCGTCTCATTTTTGGGAACAGAGAGGGTCCGTGGAGGGTGCCATGCTTTTCGCGGTATTTGCAGGAACAAGCGAGCAGGGCCTCATGCAGTCATCAGGGAACGTGTAACATCACGAGGTCGAAAGGAGGGGGAGAAAAGAGTGCAAGTGCTAGAGGCCAGAAAGACTGTGCTGTACTGTATTGTACGAAGATCAGAGCATCCAGAGACGCTAAATATATTCGGCTCGCTCTTATTTCGCCGGAGATGCCGCTCGATCCGACGCTAAGGTTGTTCTAGCTAGCATTAGCTACAATGCTATCTAGTTGCCTAGAGGTAGACACCCTACTGTAAAGTTATGTCGGCTCCCTACTACGAAGCAATCTAAGCTGTTTAGATCGCTCTTAGGCTATTGTGGCTATTCTAATACGTATTTCTTTCACTCCGCTAACCTTCGCCATTACAAAGTGGCCGATTACTATCCTTCACTCTATATACTCCGGCTCTATTCCACCCGGCCCTTCTAAGGTTACATTCTTCGCCCCTTAGTGACGAAATACATTATCGATTGTTTCGCAAATACCTAGCCACCTATACATCGGAAATTGTTACTAGTGTCTTATAGTAGTTGCCTGGTCTAGTATATGTCGTAGAGCCTAGATTCTCCTACGCTGTAGAGAAGGCGTAATCCGCCCCGCGGCCTACGAAAGAGACTATAAGTTCTACCCGAATGGTAAGGGTAGAATTTACTCCTCCTAACCGTTTCTACCCCTACCGCTTACCTAAGTCCCAATTTTTCTACCAATTTCCTTGCTTTAGGAGTGGCTTCACTCGCCATTTTCCTTAGACCTCTTCGTCTACCTTCTTCGAACCTTGCTAATTACTAGGTTTCACTAGGTCTTCATCCTTCTTAGGACAAGGCGTAAATTCTACCGAATACCTTCGTTTCTATCTACATCACTACAACATTTAGATATTTAAGTCATTCGACGTGAACTGGAAGATTCGGGGCGACTACCATCCGCCAATATTTACTTAACCATTTTCTATTCTAAGAAGATTGCGAGCTCTTTGTATAGCTAATTTGTGGAGGCCCGAGCCCTTAGATTTTATCATAGCTTAGACCATTCTCATCGAGATGTCAAGTTTGGTATTGTATGTGTCGACGTACAATAAAAGGTAGCGCGTGCCAAAATGCACGTTTGACACTAATAGCGTACATATCAAATTTTCGTGTGTAGGTTGCATTAAACGGCGAGACGCCCATTACATATAGAATATAAGGGCCTATAAAAATGATGGATGCCGAATACCTATAGTTAAATATTCTATAAATAGAATAAAGTATATTTTGAATGCATTTACATTCCAACACCTAATTGAGGTCAAAACTTGAACCAAAGAGAACCCATTCGTATCATTCAACAACAGTAAACTCAACAAAATTAGATGACGGGACCATTATGACCGGCCTTCCATCATTATCAGCGGGGTCGACGACACGACCATGCAGCCAACATGGTAATTTCACTACCGTCTTCGCATGCTCTTCGCAATCACCCCAAATCCACCAGTCAACGCGGCCACCACAGTACTGGTATCGATATGTGTCGCCGACCACTGTATCGGGATGCAGGTCGAAAAATCCAAGGCGATTTTTTCTGACAAAAGATTCCCCGGGTTTTAGGCTGCGGAAAAACTCGGGATCCGTGATGTTGACCTCAACGTCGGGCTCATCTACAATCCTCCAACCCGGATTGTCTTCGTCGTCAAGATAAGTCTTCCACTGTGTAGAATCCCCGTTTGAATCTTTCGACGGATCGTAATCGAGGCAGCGGCGTTGCAGTCGAAATTGATCATAAGTAAAAGGGTAATCGTGTATGATGATCGGCTTTGTGTCATCATTGATGGCCTCGTGGTCCTCATTCGTGGGACCATGATAGGTGATCTTCATTGTAATATAAAAAAGCTTTTCCGTTTTAGACATTTCTGATGGACCTTCCAGAAACACACTCATACAAGGGGCTCCAGGGCTGTGAAAAGTGTATCAGTCAGGATAAGACGGATATCAGGTTGGAGAATTTCTCACATTCGTTCCGATTTCTCCACCAGAGGGTCATCGTACGGCTCACGCTCCAAAGGTTCTTCCCTATCAACGCAGAGAAAAGAACAGGAGGCTCCCCCCGGGATGACAACAAAGGGCAGCCCGGAGTTAACCCCAATTTCTTGCTCCCAATGCTCGCGCAAGGTGCCCCAAGCCCACAAGGCATATTCAGCCCCGAGCCAGACTAGCTCATATCTCTCACCAGCTACCATGTGGTCCAAAAAGGTATCCGGGGCGCCTATATTTCTTCTGAGAGTTTGTCCAGGAAGAAGTTCTTCTGTCTCAACTTCATATCCTGTGATCTTGAGAGTCTGAGGAGGTGGCCGCTTGGGCGTTCCTTCGACCCTTTTTAGACCATCTGGCGTGCGTTGACAGATTACGAAGCCAGGGGGACCCCATCCATCACACAAATCGCTCCAGCGGAAGATACAGGGCTTGTCACAGTCATCCTCTGCCCGACGAATAGTGACAATGAATCCTCCTGTCGGGCTAGCTAGAGACATAACTGGGAGTGTCGGCTCAACCTCCATGGAAAGTCTGGGCGTGTTTGGACTAGGATATTTGTTAGTTTGGGACAATGGGCAGGTAGGGAGAATCTCACGGTCTATCATGTTCAGAGAATCTAATAATTGATTTAAGCTCAGGATCCATGGCAACTTTAATGAAAGGTAGGGGAGAAAATAGAGAAGGTAAGAATAAATAGTGAAAGAAAAGGATGGCAGAAGACAGAGAGAGAGAGAGAGAGAGTGTGTGTGTGTGTGTGAGAGAGAGAGACCGTTGAACTAGTAGGTGGGGGTGGCGGGCAGAACCATTTTCCTCTGTAATTTTCAATTTCAGAGGCACGTACGGGTAAAATATATCATATTTATGCAGATAAAAAGTCAAAATATAAAGGATTTATAGATATTCATGAATGTAAAATAGCAGATCATATTTACTGATGGAAAATGGTAAAATATAAGGAATTAACGATATCCTAATAAAACATATCACTGAAAAGGGTCTATGTGATCTAAAACTAAAAGCTAAAACCATGATGTGGTATATAAACATAAAGTATCACCCCAAAAGTGGCTGTCTTTCCCCTTCATTCGCACGTCGAATCTGTCGCAAAGACAACCACAACAAGAATCCTTGCCCCAGAGCGAAGAATGCATCGTCGACAGCAACAAACCCAACCATGTGGTACCATGCATCGATAATCAGAATGATTGAGTGTCCACCATCTAGGTATAGATCCCATGGAACAGAGACTCTTGGGGCCCAGGAAATGGCTGAGAGCATGAAAGCCGCTGTCTGAAGCTTCAATCCAGTCAGACTTTGAGCTTGTAATGGCATGCGGGCTTGTTTGAATATTCCTATGACAAGTGGTATAGTCGTAAGAAATGGCAGAAGTATGACGGAATGAAGGCCCTGAAAGAGAGCAATTGGATCTCGCTCAATCTCAGGGCAGTTCGGATGGCGTGGAGGACAGAAGATGTCGGAAACTGCATCTGCGATGACAGGGACTATGGATACAATGAGAAAGCCGAAATAAATGACTACTGTCAAAGCCTTCCGAAGGCGACTAGTGGGTCTGTAGTAGAGGTTGAGCCCCAATCTAGAGATTTTGGTCAGTCTTGGTCGCTATATGATACCAGGAAGTGCAATGTTTTGAGCTCACAGGATATTCCACAATGCCCATACGCCTAGCACTTGAACAAAATTGACCCAGTCAAGTGCATTGCGTGGATGGTGCGTCCAGTAACCTGTCTCAACAGGGAGATTGATGGTGTAAAAGAAGACAAAAAGTAGATGCTCCGTGGAACAAAAGACATTGTAAAGTAGGTAGAGCAATGAAATGTCTCCAGTGTCCTTGTCTAGCCATGCGTGGCGTATATGAGGAGCGAAGGAGGTAAAGATCAAAATAAGGATAATGCTATTTGCTTGTTAGGGTTTCTTGAAAATCCATAGTTCTAGCTCCACATGTGCGGAGAGGAATACCCACAAGCTGATAATGGCTAGCAGCATGCTGTATGATCACTATTAGGACGCAGGAGGGATAAGGTGAATGAAATATAATGAAAGGTAAGGGAGGGACGTGGTAAGAGAAGGGAGGCACAGAACGAGGTGCCAAAAGAAAGTAAATCAACAAGTAGCTCGGACAAACGGCAGTACAGTGTACAGGTTAGGTATGTAACCCGTTGCCAAGACATACTAGCAAGATTCAGAAAGGCTCTGTGTGGTCCAAGGTCGCCCCAACGTTGCACTCGCCTCATCGGTAATAGAACCAAGCAAGCGGCTCGGAGATTAGACATGAGCTTGAGGGCAACTATGGTTTAGTGTACTTCAATTTTCCAATAGACCCATTCGCTCAAGAGGAGCCTACAATGCACGGCAAAAAAAAAAAAAAAAACCTCGGCTGGGGCCGGAAATCATCGTCGCCTTTTGCCAAGATCTGCTAGTTCAGTAGATCAGTAAAGGAACCAGGGACTAATTTATCCCACTATCGCCGGGCACGATACGACTGAATCGAACGAAGAAAGCAGACATTGCAACATCCGGTATAGAGATGATAATGACTCATGACGGCCCCCGAGATGGATCCGTCAGATGCTAATGGAAAAATTGATGAATGAGGAATTCTGAGCCTTTGATTAAGATAAGATAAGCGTTATTCGCCGAAGAGAAGCAACACGAAGAAGCATTAGCAGGAGTCTTGTGGACCTGGTTCCGGTATTTAATTCAGCGCTAGTCCGAAAACTGTCGCGAGTGCTCAAAAGGACTATGTCGAGCCTCAACCAAGTGAGACAATCGCTAATCGTCTCCAAATTTATAGAGATCCACCTTGAGTGGTTTTTCTTCTCTTTTCTTTCTTTTTTTGCCTAAGCACCTCAAACGGTTAAGTCTACGGAGTCCCGATCTAAGACAAGACTATACACATTCGTCCTTAGCATCCAAACAATTAGAGCTAGGCGGCGCAAGGGCCGCGCCGGCATCAACCGAAGTGGGCCGCTAAACTCTCCCGGGCTAGTTCCACCCGAAATTATGGCCCTGCCCTAGAAAATCCAGGGTCTGCTGAATGTCCCTTAATTGTGGCATCTCATAGTAATTTCGCTTATGGTTTGCCCCGCCGAAACTGACATAGCTGTTGGGCTATCACGATTTAGCAGAATAATTCGACAAAAATGTATCTAGTATGTGCCGTTATACCGTTTGTTATAAACCTATACGAAGGCAGACAATGCCACTGGCTGTATTGAATCCTGCAATAAACAGCAACTTCTAGGTATAGATATCAGTCCACAGGTGTACTCAATTGCTCAAATTCATCGTATGGTACCTAGGTATTGATCATATCCGAAGGAATAGGGCTCCCTGGAACTACTTGACGCTAGAATGAATGTTACCATCTAGTCCAATTTCGAGACTACTAGAAATACCTCGCATGCTGTAATTTCCGCTCTATTTATTTAGTGTCGGAATGTGGGCGAGGCTGTGGCTCTTTAGGGAAAGGTAGACTTGTATAGCGGAAATTTTCATCTGCTCCAAATGTCCTGCCCCCTTGGTGTGAGGCGATTAGGGCTTGATTGAAAAATTATAAAAGCACTGCAGTTGTCTAGCAGGGTATTTTTCATTACCTTTCCCTTAGCCCACCATTGCGACAATGAATTGGCTTGCATGGCTTGCCATGGTGGTGACCTTTCAGGCCATCCACCAGGCGAATGCAAAAGCTGTGTTTGCCCATTTTATGGTATGCACTTCCACCCTGGATTGGATTCTCTCAATGAAAAACCATAATATTAATAGTATTCAAGGTCACAAACTCCGAGAACTATACTGCTTCTGACTGGCAGTCAGACTTCAAGTTGGCCCAGGATGCCCATATCGATGCGTTCGCCCTCAACATGGCATGGGAAGACAAGACCAATGACGCTTCCGTGGCCATGGCCTTCACTGCTGCCGAGGCGAAGGGATTCAGGCTATTCTTCTCATTCGACTATGCTGGCAATGGACCTTGGGACCAAGATGCTGTCACCAGCATGATCCAAAAATACAGTTCCAGCTCTTCATACTTCCAGTACAACGGGAAGCCATTCGTGTCCACCTTCGAATGACCTGGAAACGCAGATGACTGGGTGACAATCAAAGCAAAAACAAATTGCTTCTTCGTGCCAGACTGGTCTTCCGTCGGTGCCAAGCCAGCCGTGGAATTGGCAAATAGAGTTGCCGACGGATTGTTCAGCTGGTCTGCGTGGCCATGGGGAAATCAAACCATGGATACCTATACCGATGCCTCCTATATCCAATATCTGGAAGGGAAGCCATACATGATGGCCATTTCTCCTTAGTTTTACACCAATTTGCCAGGATACAACAAGAACTGGCTTTGGAACAGTGGTAGCCTTTGGCACGACCGCTGGCAAGAGCTTTACGCTCTTGATCCAATGCCAGAGTTCGTTGAAATCATATCTTGGAATGATTACGGCGAATCCCATTACATTGGCCCGATTCGCGAGAACGCTTTGGCTGCCCTTGATATCGGTGAAGCTCCATTCGACTTCGTGGCAGGTTACCCACATGACGCCTGGCGCGATATGCTTCCTTTCTTGATCGATTTGTACAAAACTGGAAGTGCCTCGATGGGCAACGGTCTAGCTACCTTCTGGTATACCCCTAATCCGCTAGACTACTGCAGCGTTGGGGGAACAACACTCAATACCGCCTCTCAGCTGCAAATTGAATACAATCCGAAGGAGAAATTGGAAGCTCGAATTTGGGTTATGTCATTATTCAGCGACGGCAATACTGCGGTGTTCGTCAACGGTGAATCTGTGGAGTGGGACTTCATACCCGATGGCTCGGTTGGAGCTGCTATCCGGTTTGGGAGCGTAGCTGCACCAATTGGAATGGTTGAAGTCAATTTGATTGTCCATGACGCAGTGATGCAACTCACTAAAACCATCGACATCACCACATCATGTGATGGGGGCTTCAACAACTTCAATGCGTGGGTGGGAAGCGTTGGAGGAGGGAGTCCCTACGGTGACATATACTCTACTTTAGTCGACATAAAAGACCAGGAGTGCGTTCAAGGGAAGGGCGCCTACGACTTCAATGCCCTTTGTAACTTTACCTGCTCTTACGGGTATTGCCCTGTCGGTGCATGCACCTGCGAGCAGATGGGTGCTGCCCGTTCCAAGCCCAAGGCGACGGGCACGACGGGCTACCCAGCAGAAGGGAAAGATGCCAACTACGTGGGGCTCTGCAGCTTTGCCTGCAACTACGGCTATTGTCCTTCCGCGACATGTGACACGACTGAACATCCCATGCCGGTCCCTACAGTTTCGGACTTCCTCCCGCCGGCCTGTGTTGCCCTGTCCCAGGGCCAGATGGGATACTGGTCGAAGGTCTTTGCAAGCGCGAGTTTGCCAGGAAGAACGCAGAGAATTATCAATTATTGGCAGCAGGCGTCTATTTCACAGAGAAAACCCGCCGCACCATTCCTCTGCCAGTACTCCCTGCTTCCACAAGTGCAACTGAATGTGTTGTAGCCGATGACTATATCCAGTGGGATGATGTTAACGATGATATTCCCGATGTCACCGGCCAGGTACATTTCGGAGACTCTTTCGCCGCAGGAATGGGCACGGGAAACACACCTACGGCGCAAAAATGCCGAGTGGGATCGAATAATTTCGGCCAACTGTTACACGATTCGTTCGTGGGGGGCTTTGATTACCAGAATCTAGCTTGTTCTGGAGACACTGTTGCCGGACTTTACGACAAGCTTCACGGGTGGCAGAACCCGACAGTGGACAGCCTGGCCACCATGACGATCGGCGGCAATGACTTGGATTTCTCGAATATCGTCAAGCATTGCATTCTGAGATATTTCCGCGCCCTCGTTGGCTGGGATGCTGCGTGGTGTTCTCACTACAAAAGCGCCGCCAAGAGTCTCATGGCGGATACCGGCGCAGACGGGCTGCAGTATAGATTCACCTCTATTTACCTTCGGATTATTGGCTGGGCCCAACAAAATCCTGTAAGTGTCTTCATATCCTGATTCACGTGCCTGTGCTGACCTGCTGTAGGATTTCAATCTTTACGTCGCTGGGTATCCAAGATTCTTCAATGCCGATACAACACAATGCAATGATGTTTCGTTCCGCTACTGGGGATGGGATAAGGTGGACCATAGTGACGTTTGGCTGACAACCTCCCTGAGGACCGAGATGAATGACCTGGTGACATCCCTCAACAAAGTCATCGAAGCCGCGGTCCTTGACGCAAACAATCTGGTTGGCAGAAATGTCACTCACTTTGTCGACGTGGATCCCAGTTTTGAGGGCCACCGCTGGTGTGAACCGGGCGTGATAGAGCCGGATCCGAGTCACATGAGCACTGCCTTTTTCCTCAGCGGCTGGTCGGACATTGAAGAGGGGGCCACGGTTGCGACAGCGGCTGACGATAGCGCCGATCTGAGTGTCCTGCAAGCAAGTGGCAGTCTTCCACTCCCGGATGGAAACACATGCAACACAACCCTCGGCGTCGATCCCGACCCTGTCGATGTTTACTGGTGCGATATCGCGTCAGCAGTTGCGTCTGATCCGGATGGAGATATCGCTACGCAAGTTGCACTCGCAAATACAGCGCTTGCCAGCGGCGACTTTACCGCTCAAGATGTGTCGCGGTTCTTGCCGACTCGGCAAATCAAAACGTTCCATCCGCGAAGTATCGGTATGGCTTTCTATCGCGATGCCATTCTCGCTGCCAGGCAGCAGGTGGAGTACGGTTATTGATATGTGTTGAAGCCGTTTTGTTCACTCTAGTGAATGCATGTCTAGATAGATCTCTTTTTCCTCACGGTCCCCTCCTTCTCCGGGACTACAATATGTAACTGTTGACGATAACGTATTTCCCAAACGAGCTGGCCACCCCAAAACACCATAGTAAATACGATATCCTACTATATTCGCATGCCTTTTTCATCATACTTGTTTTGCGACGGTATTGTTTTTGCCGTATCAATTTTCTTTTCGAAGTAACCTCCTTGGACCTGGTATCCTTGATATCTGGGGGTACTTTGGGAGTAGAGAAACCTATATAGAAAAATATAGATAGCGGGGACTCTTATAAAACTTAGGCCCGTTCATGGGAAAGGGCTCAATAAACATAAAGACCACGATATTCCTCAAACTATTACACGAAAATTGGTCCTTTGTGTGTTGAACTCATAAAGGCGGCCCCCGCAAGACTGGAAGGGCAATCACCGGTGTTATTTGCGGCCATCAAATGGGTGCGGCAACGTGAGAGCAACCGTACTTTTAACGTTATTGACATGTTGCCCGCCATACCTTTTAAGTGTCTGCAACGTCACTATAGCATACTTTTAGCACCAGCAAACCTTTCATATTGATCGAAATCTTCATCAGTGCATGTACGTGATCTCAAACCGCCGGGCAAATGAATTCATCATTAGTTAACGCAAAAAGAAGAGTATTTTGGGCGGTGCCTAGGCATTAGGAAATGCGCGTGATTTGGGGCTGAGGGTGTCGTATAGCCAACAATATTCAATGACCACCTTACTTCTTTCACTATGTTTAAATTGAATATGAACGAATTAATCAGTTTATTATTCTTTTCAGCCGTTCTATGCGCCCCCAACGGAAAGTTCATGTGATTACATAACCGGGCAGAATCATGGTGTCAAGACACAGGAGAGAGGCAATAAAATGCATGCCCTGCGATCGAGAGACTAAAACCCGATCTACCAGTCCGAGGAGATAGCCTCATCGATCAGTTTTAATAATACAAATTGAAATGCAGACATAAGTGTGGGCAACAGAAAGAAGAGGTGATGCATATTCACTAGGCAAAAATTGGTGTAAAAAAATATATTAGTGAGGCATCACGTTGATAAACGATAAAATACAACGGTTATTTAGGAGTCGACTGAACGTGCATTGTCAACGACGATACTAGTACTGCAGGTAAATGAGGGTAGAATAATTAATAGCGTGCTAAGAGTTGTCAACGAGTGTTAAAAGGCCAATCAATGCTGATAAAGCATAAAGGTCAACGGGCAACAGAAGATTTACAGCCGGTGATTAAACAATTGATTGTCTCAGAAATCTAACTACAAAGCCGTTGAAAAGAATAAACAGACCGATTAATTCATTTATCTTGTTAATCAATGCAGTGAAAGAAGGTGGGTGTTTATTGAGTATGATTGGCTAGGGAACACTCTTCACTCTAAATCAAGCGAATTTCCTAATACCCAGGCACCCCCCAAGTCTGTTGCAAGAATTTTTTTATCCTACCTACCTAGAAAAAATTCTCTAGGCCCATGGCATGCCCACTTTTTATGCCAGATTAGCCATTTCAACAGATCCATCTAATCTTATTATATAGGTAGCTTGGTACGCCAATTAAGCATTACATTTTTTCTGTGCTATTCGACCGACTTATTCACTTTTGGTAGAACGGCCGTCAAATTTTTGATCAAATTTCTGAGTTTTTAAAACGTTGTGGATCAATACCTATAGCATGATGGTTAAAACAACGACAACACGTCTAGTTTCGGCGCAATATAACATTAAAATGGCCGTGGCAGTAAGTTGCCGCTCCCGTGCCGGGACCTAAAGGCCTGATGAATTCCCACGCATTACCTGCTAGGTGCGCCGTTTCAGATGTTCACCCACGAACTGAAACAGCATAGTAGCTTTCTGTCTAGTTTTTCGCCACGCTTTTCGCTCAAAAAACCGTGGCCTACTACATGTTCAAAAACCGCCATTGCGCTTTTGCGGTTTATAACGTTTGACGTTCTTTAAAAGCCACTCCCTAGCAAGCGAGCCTACGACTATAAGAGTACCCACTTCCTTATTCCTTAACTCTACTTTCCAGCAAGTCTAATTCTAGAGTCCCGAGGCATATTTCAGGCTATAAACTAGCAGATGGCGACTACAGGCCATCCTCGTTCAAATGGCTCTTCTTCGAAAAGAAAATCAATGCGTCAAAAACAAGGTCGTCGTAATCCAATTTGATGAAAAAGGCACGCGAATATAGTAAGTTGTGTGAAGCAGACGTCTGCGTCGGGATTCGCCTTCGGGAAACGGGCCTTAGAGGTTATCCTATCGGCGGATGTCTCGGGGTTTGGGGGATTTTACTAGTATGCAGCCAGCCATGAGTCATATGACCAAAGGCTAAATTTTCTAGGGCTCCTATTATCCGACCCCATTCTCAATTACAGATCAAGACCTAGAGAAGGCTGAAGAAGGCAGTATGAGGAAACCAAGCAAGGCAAATCTTCTAGCTTGAATACTGCAATGAAGGGGCTGTATGGGGTCATCTTGATCGCTTTTATATATTTGAATGTGAAATTTTGCTATAACTTGGTAAAACCATTGAATGGCGCAAGAGTAAATTAGAATTGGCTCAAGAATAAAACAGGTGAACATTGCCGGTTTCGTTATTATGGGAGCAAAGCGTTTCTAATTTATGATTGGCCCGTGGTTACTCCTTTCTCCACCTTGGAGTAGGGCCGGTTATTCTTGAAAGGTGGTGTCTCTGAGGCACATCCAAAAGATTACGAGGTAGCTGTGGCAGCGAATGGCTTTATCACGTCGCCGTTAGCATTAAAATTCCTTCAACACTTCGACAGACATACTAAAAATCGGGCCGGAAAGAGTAAGTTCAATGGAAATCTTGACAATATTGAGTTATGCAATACTAACGTTGACTCTTCCCTACTAGATGAATACCGCTTACTGATCTTTGATGGGCATAAAACGCACTTAACCGCCGAATTCCTCGATTACTGCATGCAATCTAAAATCATACCTTTTTGCCTTCTCGCACACACTTTGCATCTTGTGCAGCCTCTTGATGGCAAGCCATTCCTGGTTTATAAGACCTTCTTTCGCAGCTGGAATCGTAAGATGGCAGCACGGGGTGGGGATTGCACTGAAAAGCGTGTCTTTCTCGATGCAATTGGCCCAATTCGGGAGAGAACGTTTACTCCTCAGCTTATTCGAAAGGCGTTTTTTAGAGAGCGTGGTATCTATCCTTTCTATCCAGATATTATTACTGGGCCAATGAGTGAGGCAGAATGGGAAGCCAGCCCAGAGATTAAGGGCTTTAATCCCCTTGGAAATCATGCTGGGGGTATTATCGGGCACTCTCTCCTACACAATCTTCCAGCGATATCGATGTTCTAGTAAGCCCCCGGCGTATACGGAAGAGTATCGAGAAGGTCAAGGTCTTCATTGATGCTTCTAGTAATGCCCCACCACTAAAGCAAAAGTGACACGACAACTTGACTACATTCAACACCGGGCCTTGCGTGGACTTGACAAGAATATACTCCAAGACTCAGTGATTGAGACCTTCCGCACTGTACTGGCAACTATGCAGGTCGCTAAATCGAGAAGACAGATCTCTAAGGTCTATTCGATTCGTACTGAAGACGCTCTTGCAAGAATTACCCAGCGAACTGATGAAGAGAATCGGCAATTCATAAGGAGGGTCAAGAGGGAAAATAATGCTTTATGGGGCCCTCTTACTGAGCATGAAACCGTCTTTACAGTTGGAGCCTCTACTGAGGAGACTGACAAGAGTCTATTACAAGGTGGAACGTGGTAGCCTTGTATTCCCCAAGCTGATGGTAGTAACTTGATGGTTGAGTACAGTCACCTCGCGTCAAAGTGACTTCCACCAGAATTCGCATCTACAGACTCAGGTCTCGCGAGAAATATGCTTCTTTCTCCGCAGTCCAAACATCTGCAGAATCTCTGTCCAGAAGCCTGGGCTGTACTCAGTGAAAGTCGCCTCATACGCATCAATGACCGGTCGGTCCCAGACCAAGTCAGCTTCGTGCGCCTTGATGAACTTGGTGCGCTTGATTATCTTCCATCCGAAAAACAGGACCGGGGCGGCTAGAACCATGGTATAATAAGTGAAGAAGCCACCCACGGTGAATTTTCCTGGAAGGAAAGTAGAATAGCCGTAGCAGCATACGACAAAAGTCATCCAAATCAGGCCAATCCAGGCGGAGTAGGGCTGGAAGTAGCCATAGTATGGAAGCGTACGTCGGTCCATGCCTTGGGCGCGGAGGGCACGATAGAAGAAGAGATAAGTCACGCAGATGATAATGTAATCGATGACCTGGGCGGCGGTGATGATGTTGGTGAGCCAGGTGAGAACCTGGGCAGACCCACTGGAAACGTTCAAGAAGGCAAGGAAGGGGAAGACAATGACAACGCAGAGGCAATAGATGGGGACACCGGCTTTCGTGCAGCGTCGGAGGACTTTGGGTGCCTGGCCCTGGATAGCCAAGCCATAGAGACTGCGAGTGCCGTAATATGTGTAGGCATTACCTGCGGAGAAAATACTCGTCACCAACAAAGCATTGGTGATGTGAGGCAGCACGGTAATGCCCAGATTGTTCATAGCAATGACATATGGAGAAGCGGCTGCCGTTCCGGAGCCACCTGAAGAGCCGCTGAGAATATCCAGCAGTGTCTTGTCGTTGTATGGAATGACAATGCCCACACATAGAGCACTGCCAATGAAGAAGAAGGCAAATCGAGCATAGGTGGTCTTGAAGGCGGTCTTAAGGTAGCGTCGAGGCAGCTTGGTTTCTCCTGCTACCATCGACATGTATTCAGGGCCGACGACGGTGAATGAGGCACTCCATACAGCCCCTAGGAAGCCTTCAAAGCGACCCAAAAGGCCCGTTGAGATATATTCGGCAAACGAACCGGGGTTATTCCAATAGCGGAAACCATAAGCATCGTGCTTAGGATTGCCACCGACCATGGTGATGAATGTGAACATGAAGACAATGAGAATGAGCAGCACTTTTCCAGTTGCAAGCCAAAACTCTGCTTCACCATACCACTTGACCGTGAAAGCATTGAGGACACTGTAATGTACTACCACGTTAGCAGATCGTCTTTAGAGCTGAAAATGGAACGGAGATGGAGACTAAGAATCAGAGAAAGAAAGTGGGTCCGCACAAGTAGATGACAATACAGGCAGCTACTACTGCCTCGACGGGAATGTCATCCCGCCAGAATGTCAAGACCAGGTTCAGGGCCGAGATCTCAAATGGAATGAGGAGAGCCTCGTAAATGAAGAAGTTCCAACCAGCCCAGAAACCGAAAGCTTCGTCGACCCAGTGGCCTGCCATACGAATGAAAGCACCAGTGACGGGCATGAAGACAGCCATTTCGGCCATGGAATTGTTGACTAGGCCCATCATGCAAGAATATATGGTGTATGCCAGAAACAAGCTGCCGGGGCCACCCTTGATTAGACCGGACGTGATGCTCACGAAGGTAGCTGTTCCAATGGAGCCACCAATGGCGATCAACTGGATCTGGCGGTTCCCTAGGTGTCGTTTCAGTTGGTCAGTGTTTTCAATGAAAACACCAGCGGCTTGTTGGTCATCTTGACTCTCAGTAGTAGAGTCGGCACCTTTCTCCTCGAAATTTGGCACCTGTTGTTTCTCTGTGAAACTGGACATCATATGAAATCATGTAGCATCCGATCATTCACGATGGATGCAAAATGACTAGCGACCGCCAGAGATTTGGCGGCGATATGACCCTCTATTTAAATGTAGCCCGGTATCAAGATTGCATCAAACCCCAGTCTGACGCTTAAGCCCTACTCGCCTTGCTATCATGTTAGCCTTTGTACTAAAACGCCAAATCAACTTTAAGACGGTGATCCACCAATCAAAGTCTCCACTTCCCCCGCAACCTTGTCAAAGCCTCGCGTGCAATCGGCATGATAGCCCAATCTTCCTAGCGCGTCCTCGCTAATCCTGACTCGGAAAACTGGGCTGACCACGCTAGGGTTATGAGGGGTGGTGGCTAGGATAATGGGTGACATATGATCGGAATGCCAGCCGATGAGCCCTTTACCCATTCAGGGCATGTTTTCCTCATTTCAAAGATTATGAGCCGTAGATTATCCATCGATGAGACATTCACGAATAGAAGTAAGATTGCTCAATATGCGGTTTTTTTTTTTTCTCTTAATCTTGCCATGCGATAAAGAAAAGCTGGTGTCAGATCAACCATAAGCCACTCTGACAGTGCCTGTTGCCACCGTCAAATTTTGGGCGTCGTGCACTGACCCGACTCACCGTCGCACTTGGAAACCGTGGCGAGGTCTAATAATGTGGCAATGGAAAGGAACGACATTGAGTTCATCCAGCCTCCAGAAGCTTTGAAGAGAAGACAGGTATTTCATTCCATTGCGAATCATCAGTCACTGTCACGGTGTAACGGCTCCTTGTTGGAGAACCGACCCTAGTGTAGTCCGGTTTAGCCACCCCCTCAGGTACTACTGAGGACCTACTCCTATCATGGTATGACCATTTGGGTTGTAGCACAAGCCACTGCGGGGAAATTCATCGGGTCAGGATCCGGTCGAGCCGTTTCACAGGCTTATCAGCGGACCGCAAAGCCGATCACGGAAAGCCTACGGGAAGCCTCCCGTGGAGATGGAGGCACTGTAATCAGGAGGTGGTGAGATTCCTGGAAAGTTAGCTGATCCCAGGAGCCTGACATTGAGGAATCCTGCCGAGAATCATTTTCGTTGTTTGGACTCGGCCCCTTCACGTTTATGTGTTATCATGAGTTCAGTCATATTTGGGGTTAGCTTTTGACTTGCGGAGTATTAGGCCTACAAATTGAGGATTTTTTTTGCTGAGCTCAAGGCCTTTATCCGGCGAAATTGGCAATCCTACGAAGGAAATCCAGAGCAAGGATTGGATAACTTTCTCGAATGGTGTGTTGACGTTGTTGGTGCGAGGGAGAAAAGCGTGGAGGGATATTTTCGGCACGCTGGCCTAGCCGTAGGGATATAGCGCTACTGCGGCAGCAAAGTTCGGCACTAATCTCACCGGCTAACTGGAACGGATTCATTTACGGGCATTATTGCGAATGACGTTGTATTATGAACTCCGACAACATTCAGAGATACGAAATGCATAAATTCTTCGACATGCCAATGTCATCGTACCAATTTCTAATGCACTGATAGGGTATTTAACCACCCGCCAAGTCGTAAGCCTACAAGATATCCCAAATGTGTCGATCTATCTTCTCTGACATCCAGCTCCTCCATATCACGAAGGACCCTGTCAATATATTCGCCAGCGCCGCTAAGTTTCATAATAAGAGCAATGGCGCGGTGGACATCGAGAAGCCGGTGGGATGGCGGATCTACCGTGCGATGAGGACTTAAGGTCAGCGATCGTGTAACGGGAAACAAGGGGTCACGTAAGAAAGGACTGCGTTCTGTCGAGTCAATCCTATACTGGTGTCGTGTGCTAGTGCGTAGACTTCCGCAAAGCCCACCGTTGGGCCCGGACATCGGGCCCAAGCCCAACCCCCAGCCCACAGTGGGGGCCTAATAGGCCCCCACGAAAGCCCATTCTTGTATAAAATCCTAGCCTTGGTAGTCATAAAACTGCTTAGTCAAGGCCCTTGTAATTGCTATATTTCGACTTTCTACTAGTTATACTAAGCTAAAAATAAGATGATATATATATGGCTATTTTTAGTATACCATTTAATTTTAATTTAATATAACCGTAGAACGCGAGTAAGAGGTTAATTGTGGAAGATATATATATAGTATGAATGTTTGGAGAGGGGAAAAATTAACCAGGTTGGAAAATTCGAGAGGGGAAATATTGGCTCCTGGGGAATATTTCAAGACTGGGAAATTCAAGTAGTTTGAATTTTAGCACTATGTTAATTTTTATGTTGGTTGAAATAGGGGCCAGTTTATTAAATATCACGCTGGAAAATTCCAGTCGTTCGGTTTCAACGGAGATAAGGGCGAGCTATTAAATGAGGGCAATATTATTCGCACTGGACTGGACCCTCCGAACTCGCACTGGAAACTAAATCAGAATTCAGCTTCGCGAGGTATTCTGCTGCATTTTACTGCCTTTTATTTTAGGTATTGACTGTGCCAGGACATAGAAATGTAGGCAAGGCCAACCTCCCCATATATTTACTATAGGGAATTGGGCCGAGCCACCACCTCCTTGTTGGCTTAGTCATTCAGATTCTGCCGGTCAAAACCACGTGACCCTAGTGCCGCTATTGTCCGCCGTATTTTATGGCGTCACGTGATAGTGACGTTACTTGCCTAATTGCACTGCGGCGAGTGAGAGCTCAGATTTAGCATGCCCGCTGCAATTTATCCCAGCAGCAATAATGAGCACGCAAGGCTCCCGACTTGTTGCGGTTGTCATATGCTTTCTTGTTCTTGCAGTCATTGCAGTTGCTCTCCGGTGCTATGTGCGGATCAGACTAACAGGTGGCTTTGGGGTGGATGACGCCCTATCGGTGGCCTCATTAGTATGTCTATAGCCGAAAATCACATATTGCTCGGCCCATAAACTAATAATGTGGGAGGAAGATAATTTTCCTACTGGGTTCTGCCTGTCTCCTTGTTGGAGTTTCACATGGTGCTTTTGGGCACAGGTGGATGAGTATCTCTCAACCAATGCTTGTTCTAGGCTTGAAAGCAAGTACCCCTAAATCTGAACACACCTGAACCTCTCTCAGATATTTTCCCAGCTACTCTTTATATATGAGTTGGCCTACATTACAGCGACATGTCTGGTCAAGTTATCCATCAGCCTATTTCTCCTCCGCTTCACCATCGAACGCAAATATGCCTGGACTCTATATATTGTCCTCGCCATACTTTTCAGCTACAGTATCTTTTTGCTATTATTCGCTCTGTTCCAATGTAAACCTATATCCGCATTCTGGCAGCCCCAAGGACATTGCGACAGAAGTGGGACAGTTAAGGTTACCTACGCACACTCGGTCATTGTTAGCGCATCCGATTGGACACTCATCATCTTGCCAATATTCCTTGTCCATCATCTTAATCTTCGATTTCGTACGAAGGTTTATGTTGGGGTTCTTCTGACGATCGGCTCCTGGTATGTTGCAATAAGCTGCCCTTAGGGAGAAGATTTTCGCAAACTAATTCCCAGGTAACAGTGCCTGCATTGCCACCCTAGCAAGATTTGCTTATGTTCATTATCTCATTGACCCTAAAAATCTCTTTTCCAATACGAGTCTTCTTATTACATCGCACCTTGAGGTTGGAGTAGCTCTTACTGCTTCATCAATGGCGACTCTTCGACCACTGCTCATCCGTTTGAGAGGAGGATCTAGTAGCCGGAGCCGGAGCCAGAGCCAGGCATCAGATCAACCTTACCTCAACAGGAGGGAAACTGTTGGAAGACATCCCCGCCAAGAACAAGTTGATGAAATTCATGAGACAGATGTCGAGCTCGGCGAATCAAGCTAATCTAGTGGAAGGCGAGATTCTGTTACGAGATTGAGCAATTGGATGGAGATTGAGTAAATGGGATTGAGTAATTCAGCAAACCCAAAAAGACATCACAGTTCCTTAGTCATGTGAATTAATATCCCTCTAATACGCTATGATCTAGCGAGTATGAATGTGAAAAAATGAGGCTGGGCTCGCGCAAGTGGACTTTTTCGGCCGCCCTAGAAATTTACATAAAAGCCCAGTCTTTCCCTGAGCTTTGGAGGCCAGGCTTCAGAAGACTTTCTGCCCTCCCCTGCTCGGACTTGAGAAACCCAGGTGTTGTAGTGCCCCCGCGCGGCCTGAAGCGTCAGATCTCCCCTGCTCGGACTTGAGAAACCCAGGTGTAGACTTCCGCAGAACCCACGAAGCCCAAAGCCCAACCCAACCCAACTAGACCTGGCTGTGACCCGCCGTCCCCTCTCAAAATATATATATCACTTGCACAGTATATAGCACCACCATTTAATGGTCTATAATAATATAATAAAATTTCAGGGTTGCTTAATAATAGCACTTTCAAAAATTCGCTTAATATTTTGTGTAATACCCCTTAGCCTTCCGCACTGCTTTCAAACGTCTTCCTATGCTCAATATTAGCGAATCTATCTTTGCCTAATCTAATGCCTTCTAAGCTTCTACTAGGCATTTTTTAAAATACTTCTAGTCTGCCTCCGACCTTCCTTGGCTAATAAGCTCTAGAAACATCGCAAAAAGTTTCACTTTTAGCTAGCGCTATACCGGTTTAATTAGGTTTAATTGGGTGAGTGCGCGGGCTAGTCTTCGACGTATACTCCGTGAGTTTCAAACCACTCTTACGTATCCTTTGCTAGGTGAATCCTCGCGTTATCTTGCTGAAATACTAAATTAGGGGTGTAGATTGGTATTAGACCTTTTTCGAGCGTCGAAATATACGACTTCATAGTATAACCCCTCCCTAAAGGCGATTCTTTATCACGTTCTATAATTATTAAATCTATTCGACCTCCTAGCTAGATTCCGGCCTAAACTATTTGCGAAATATCTTTAACGTAAGCCTTAGTATTCACAAGGTCTTTACGAAGGCCCTCCGAGGTTATACGAAAGCACTATTGTGGTCTAAAGTTTAAGGTTCGCTATACTAAACACTCGTCCGAGAAGATCCACGAT